TAAAAAGAAAGATTTTTCAAATCAATAAAATATTGAATTACAATAAATCGATAAAATCTTATTACTCTACCCCGAATAAATTTTGTAAGTTGTTCAAGTCAATAAAGCCTCGAAGCATTCTTTTTTCTAAATAGGTCAAAAAAAATGAATAGTTCAAATGCAAAGCAATGCATTAAATGCTCAGAAATCATTATATATTAATTATAGCAATGATGAATATAGCAGTAAAAATAATAGCAATATTAGCAGTGATGAGATGTTTGAAGAAAATATAGTAATGGATAAAGAAGAAGCAGAGGATATTATTGATAAATTAAATGAATTTAAACAAAAGAAAAAACCAAAAAGGCCCCTTGTTTATGTAGGAAATTCTGTAAGAACTTATCAACGAAAACGTCTTGAAAGCAAGAAGATGGCCATAGGATCTGCTCATATAACTGACTTTTTTGACGTGTATAATAATTCGGATTAGAAAGATAAAAGTAGTGAAGAAAGTAGTTTAAATAATGAGTGCTCCCAAATCCTAGAATCAGAAGAGAGTGATTTAGATGATGAGCGATATCAAGATGCGGAGATTAATGAATTCCAAAATGATGAAAACATAAGAACTACAATTGAAAGAATTGGAAATTTGATAAAAAATAAAAAACCCCCAAAAGTTGAGTTAGTTTGATATCAATCAGTTGTTGAATATCTGCATCTGTTATAAAATAGAAAAAAAAGAGAATCGAGTAAAACTATTGCTTTAATACATGGAAAAGGTTCATATCGAGCTCAAAGTATAAGAAGATGAGCAACAACATGTTTAAAAGGTAAGTACAGTATTAATATATTTAAAGTATTATTCACATATTACCTGAATTCACTTCTATTTGAAAATTTTTATAATAGGTGAAGCAGTACCCCTAAGCTATCAAGGAAAACATCTATCCAAGTCCCTTCTTCATGACGAATCTGTGTGCATGTGTATAGCTAATTATCTCAGATCAAATAAATTTAAAATAAGTACTTATTTGGTAAAACAATACCTTGAAGAGAAGATACTTTCCGACTTTGGATTTGATACGCCACAAACAATAAGTGTTTGAACAGTGCGATGATGAATGCATCACTTAGGTTTTATATACAAACAATATCAGAAAGAAATTTATGTTAATGATCACGAACGTCCTGATGTGGTGGTATACAGAAATGAGTTCCTAAATCAAATTGCCGAATACGAGCCCTTAATGTCTAAATGGCTTGACAAAGAATATTTAATAAAAACTCCCCAATATTAAGTCTAAATCAAAAACTATATATTTTGGTAACACACAATAAGTTAACTTTTTATGCATATGATAGAATACATGCTTTCTGAGGACCACATGGAAAACAACCTTTAAGAAAAAAGGCACAGATATGGGTTTATATGTAAGTGATTTTTTGACAGAAGAAATTGGGTGCCTAAAAGATAATGAGGATGAAGCATAATTAATAATGGCACTAGATGCAAATAAAGATGGTTATTGGAATGATGAGCTGTTGCTAGAGCAGGTAAAAAGAGTGATTACAATATTTGAATGAATGTATTCAGGGGCTATTGGAATATGGGTATTTGATAATTTAACAATTCATACGGCAATAGTACCAGATACACTAAATATGAAAAAGATGAATATGTATCCCAGCAGATGCCAACCAAAGATGCGTCCAACTAAATGGAATGGTCATGACCAAGAAATGGTTTATTCTCTTGATTATCCAAAAAAAAAGCTATGGGGTCAAGCAAAAGGTATAAAAAAGAATAAAAAAAAAAAAAAAAGTAATAAATAAAAAAAATTTTGAAAAAAATAAAAATAAAAATACCGTAAACTGCCATATACTCCTTATGTACTAGACCCATGAAACTTAAAATCTACAATAACCAAATGCAGGGTTTTTTTTTAAAATTTAATAGTAAAAACTCTTCACCATGTACTAAACACAGGGTCTAATATTACGTTTTAATATTGGTGAGACCCGGTCTTTTATACGGCATTTACAGCAAATAAATAAATAAATAAATAAAAAAATAAATAAAATAATTATATTAATATAATAAATTATTTATTTATTATTATTAAAGGGATGAAGGCAATTTTAGAGAAACAAGAATTGTGGCGAAATGGTTTAGTAGTGGATTGCAAAAGATGTAAAAGCAAAAAAGATGAATATACTGATGCAGTAGACTGCTGTGCTTGTCGGATACTTGTAAACTAACTAGATTTTCAAGAACAACAGGGCCTGATACAAGAAGAAATTAAAAAAAGAGGTCATAAGATGATTTTTTATTCAAAATTCCATCCCGAATTGAATTATATAGAGATGTATTGGGGTGCTGCAAAAGCATATGCAAGACTAAAATGTGCCTATTTTTGGGCTGAGTTATACTATATTGTTCTTGAAGCTCTTGATTCAATCCCAGTAGAGCATATTTGTGCATATGCTAGACTAAGTTTTCGATAGATGCATGCATATTAGCACAGATTAACAGGTGCAGAAGCAGAATATGCTGTTCGCCAACATAAAAGTTATCGAAAGATAAATCAAAATTTAAGCAATATTAATTAGTTGTTTGTTGTAAATGCAAATATAAACTAAAAAATAAATGAAATAAAAGTTAAAATAAAATAAATGCTTTAAAAACATTGCTTTTTTTTCTTTTTTTTTTTTGTAAGAATTAAAGAAAAATTTAATTGAACACAATTTTTTGTATTTTTATACTATATATTATCGAATTTCTATTGGCTATTCTCTTTGGCACGTGACTCTGCAGATTTTCAAAATTTGGCACCTACTATAGAACAGAGTGTCGGTTTATGGTGTTCCGTACTGTATAATCTTACTATCAACTGATAATCATGATTCTTTATCTTCTAATTATCCCTTATATGTCTATATAATATTGTAATTATCTAAACAAATATATGCAATAAATTATAGAAAATTAAAATTTATCAGAGTAGAGAAAATGTAAACATTTCTTTGATTGCGATAAGTTTTAAAACCGTGATACTATCTATACTCATAAATTTGCCTATACCAAAAAGAAAATTTATAAGCTTATTGCTTTAAATACTATTCAAGCTAATATTCTAGACTCTAATCTAGACCCTAATCTATATCAATTAGTCACAATATTTCAGATCTACTATTGTGACTACTGATAGAAACTACAAAGCTATGATGATAAGCAATATACTAAAGTTTTTCCTCAACCTCTTTTTGATTATACTTATTGCACTCCTAATAACTTTTGCTTTATATACTATCGTACTAAGGAAGAAGACAGAATAGTTATCTCTTATTATTTAGAAATATTACTTATTTGAAAAGGATATATAAATTTTCAATATATTCCTTAAACTGTAGGCTTTTCCAGGCAAATTTGCCTAGAAAATTATTATAAATATGGTTATGATCTACTTTTTTTAATTTTTAATATATTTAAATAAATTTTTTTTGATAATATTTGAAAATAAGGATTATATTATAGCAGTATTTAATTTTATA